CCCCAAAACCCCAAAACCCCAAAACCCCAAGATCAAAATAATACTATAATACTTCTGATAAACTGAGTAATTTCAATTGTAAATTTAAATACAAAATCATTTAAAACTTTGACTTTTTACATTCAATACCTTTTTACTGCTGCTGCCTTTTAATGCCTTAGACCTGAAATTGTTTAGCTAATTTTGGTTTGCTTAGCTCAATGAACCTCTTAACTGAGAATTCATCTTTACTAAACCAGATTTATGTTTTTAACTCAATAGGTTTAATCTATTAGCACTACCTAGTCTGACTTTTCCACTTTGACCTCTCTACTTAAAACCATGTGAGCTACCTCCAGTTTCTGTCATCATTTATTCTCTCGCTATTTATTCCTCTACTTATAGTTTATAATTCTCATTTAGAACATTCCTCAATGCCTCTGTTTGCATATAGAGAGCAAGGTCTCTTGCTTTAGCCTTTTTTAGATCTGGAGAGACCACTTTACTTGGGAGATGAGCAACTTGTTTATGTTTTGCTTCAAGCACTTTGTCATAGTTCACACTTGTCATTGTACTATATGATCCATCATTATATTTTAGTAAACACCCTTATCGTTATCTTTGTCTACCACCCATTTGCTTAATGTCAAACAAGCCTTTTATAGTTTTTTCCATTCCAAATTCAAGATTAGGTTTGTAGTTTGCTTAAGTTGCTGGCTATTTAGTAAATATCTCTTTTCTTGGTAGCATTTTCTCAAACTCTATACTTTTAAATATGTTTGACATGCTTCCATAAGAAGATCTAAATGTATTTCTGAAATCTTGCCCATATTCATAGGAACTTAATCCATTAGATGAGAAATTGTTTTCATCACTAAACATCATACTCTTGATTTGTTGATTCTTCTCTTTGCTCTATGGTCTAATCTGAAAATCTTTTCTCCCAACTTTTTTATCAAACTAAACTCCTTGCACATGCGTGTCAAGATTTTGTTTAGGACTGTGAACCCAGACTACTTCTTATATATTCAAGTCTGAGTTGTTGCTGAATACTTACCTAGGGTTTTCAATCTCATCCTCCACTTTATTTATTACTAGATGATATTTAGGGCTAATTTAAATATTCTGATAGGCCATTTTTTTATTTTATCTGAGAGATACATTATGAAGAGACTTTGGCAGTAGCCTCTTAGATTGATTACTATTCATTGATTATTGGTGAGCTAGGTTTTAGGTTGTTAGTTGCTCCTGTTTATCAGTTGTAATTTAGTTTTACTGAGTAGACTGATTTTATTAATTATCTTGAATCCCTGAGTGCTATAAACCACCTGGAAAGTCATCATTATTATTCCTTGATCTTAAATTCTAAGGAGTTTAATTACCACTACCGTTCTTACCACCATTAATTAGTTAAGGACGCTCCTCCAGAGTTTTTCTAAGAAATTTACACAATGGTAAGTTACAAAACTTTATCGCAGAGGTCAAATTTAGAATGTGACGATTCAAGCATTAATTTCCTTCTTCTATTTGAAGCACTTTATAGCCTTATAACTGTTTCAGGTTTATGACTATTTAATCATAATTAGTAAAAAAATTTAATTACCCTCTTATTACATTATATTTTGGAGTATACTTTCCTACCTCAGGTTTATTATCATTTGAACCAGTATTATTGCTAAGTATTCTTTCCCTTTATTCTCTGGTAACTGCCTTGAATTGTGAAGTGCCAGCCTTATAACTAAACTCGCTTGCTGTACTATAATGATGCTGCATATTGTTGTTCATAGTTCTCTAGCTTCTAGCCTCTTGAGTTGTGTTTAGAGAATTCCTCAATGATTCCTCTTTTGCCTTTCGCTCACCCTCTAGCTTCTCTTTTTCTTCTTTCCTCTTTTATTTAACGTCTTGGAAAAACTTATCTATGTCACTCATTGTCTAAAATAATTCATTATTTTTTATAGAGCAATATTATGCTTCTTACTAGAGTTTATTTTTAAAGGAATTTTTCTCTTTATTTAGACAGGTCATCTAGACCTCCATCAAATTTTGAGGCTCTCTTAGATTTCAAAGACTTCTTGTACTCTTCAATGTCAACACCAGGATTGTGCTTTGCAAACTCCTCCATTTCTTTTTTACTCATAGCAGCCTAACTAAAAGCAATATACATGGAGACAGTGGTCTTTCCCACTCTTGAAAACATAGGCAGATCCGTCCCAGTTTATTTATCATAGTCTTCTTCTACTGTTAGAATCATTTTTATTTTTATTTAATTATCAATACTTCTCAATAATTTTGGGATGGTGGGGTTTTGGGGTTTTGGGGTTTTGGGG